TCAGTTTGTCTCAATGGAATGTGATTGTTTCATGTGTGACTCAATAGTGTAAGTTGGTCCGTTGTAAGACAGAGATCCTACAATCCAAACTATTTCATCTTCCAAGAATCTCAAGGCTTTTAAAACGGTTAATTTATTTAATCTTTTTAATTTATTTTGTTAAATCTTTCGTTTTGTATTATTTATTTATTGTTACATACATCTATAAATGGTGCTTTGCATGTAATGTCACCTCTTTGTATGTAATGTTGATATTCTCTGTATTTTTATATTTGGTACCTTGGCATTAATAAAAAATAAATTTTTTTTAAAAAAAACAGTGAGTGGGCGGGTTCCAAAACAGAGGTCGTCCAATGACTAGTCGGCAATGCAGAAACGTACTTTAAAGGCGCCATTCTTAAAAAGATAAATACGTTTACACACACACACACACACGAAGGTAAACCCAACCAAAGCCACGGAGCTGTACCGCCATGCTGTTTCTTTCTTCTTCTTTTGTTCAATGGCCGTTTACACGCTAGTGCATATCGCCACCTAATTGATGGTTGTGCAATCATTTTTATTTCGTTTAATCTTTAATCCTTGAGATATATGAATTATATTGTTTGTTTGATGCTAATTATATATTAACAGTGTTGGGCAAGTTACTTCCAAAATGTAATACATAACATATTGTAATATTATATAATGTTGTGCGCTATCTGTCACGCCCACTGAAGGCTCGTCAGTAGATCACACGTGCGCTGAAGTGAACTAACCCTGGAACATAACCTGCTCCGAACAACAGGTGTGTTCGAAGAACCGAATTAGCCAGATCCTGATTAGCGCGATATCATCATCTTGGATGTGACATTTCATCTCGGATGTAATAAGCGACGGACGAAGAATGGGCCCCAGGTCTTGAATTCACAAAATCCAGACAAATCATCTGTGATAGTGTCAATTACAAAACAATTTTAGATATTCACACACACACAGTTAACTGATAAAACTAGTCTTTATTTACAGGGTGTTATCATACAATATTAAGACGACAAAGGTAGAGAAAATTTAAAGTGCAACTTTCAAAAGCCACCCCCAAAATATTTGATTTTATAAATATTAATTTTAAAGCAGGCCTGTAACCTTTTCTGATTTATAACATGTTGAAACACATTCAGTAGAAGGCAGACTTATTCTTTACGTTCAGATTTAACAAAATGTCCAACTAGCCATTACAGCAATGTCCCATTGAGCCATTCTGTCAATGATCATTTGTGGATCCTGAAATCACAGAATACTTGAGCAGAAAGTTCCTGGTGAAAGGCCAAACCCCAGCTCGTCATTTCA